TTACCTTGCGATGCGATGCATAGAAAGTTTACAAATGCAACATTCTTTGAACAAAATGGTTGTTTCATTCCCATCACGTGTTTTGCAAAATGTGTAATTTTTTGATAAAGAATAAAACCTGCCCGAGGCAGTGCAATGTGCTTAAACTACCAGTAAAAAAGAACGTAAAGCATAGAATGGCAGGGTAGCAAAGTATCGGAATTGATACCAGTAAAACTCCCCTTGCGGTCAACGCGCCTTCCGCACCTTTGTTCGGGTCAACTACATGGTTTGGCACCTTCATCACTCGAAACAATGCAGGAAAGCATACTTTTGAAACGTGAACCTTCGAGTTGACCTCAGGCCACAACTTCTGCGGGCGATGCTCGATACGTACGAAGAACGTCCCATCCCGTATCCTTTTCATATCTTGTGAATTCCACAAATCGTTTCAATTATGCTGTGTTACAGTACTTTACATTCCAGCATCGTGAATAACATGTTTTTACTTACATGTGTACATTCAACTCTTCTCATGCACATTACTTGCGTAGACCGCATGTTTTGCTTGCGTAGACCGCATATTTGTTCAAATTCATTACTTGCGTAGACCGCATGTTTTGCTTGCGTAGACCGCATATTTGTTCAAATTCATTACTTGAGTAGACCGCATGTTTTGCTTGCGTAGACCGCATGTTTGTTCAAATTCATTACTTGCGTAGACCGCATCTTTGTTCAAATTCATTACTTGCGTAGACCGCATATTTGTTCAAATTCATTACTTGTGTAGACCGCATGTTTTGCTTGCGTAGACTGCATATTTGTTCAAATTCATTACTTGCGTAGACCGCATGCTTTGCTTGCGTAGACCGCATGCTTGTTCAAATTCATTACTTGGGTAGACTGCATGTTTTTCTTGCGTAGACCGCATATTTGTTCAAATTCATTACTTGCGTAGACCGCATGTTTTGCTTGCGTAGACCGCATGTTTGCATTCAATTTCATTACCTGCGTACACCGCATGCTTTACTTGCGTAGACCGCATATTTTGCTTGCGTGGACCGCATTCCTGTGTTCAATTTCATTACCTGCGTAGACCGCATGCTTTACTTGCGTAGACCGCATGTTTTCCTTGCTTGGGCCTCATACTTGTAGTCAATTCCATTACTTGCGTAGACCGCATGTTTTGCTTGCGTAGACCGCATGTTTTGCTTGCGTAGACCGCATGTTTATAACTAATTACGTTACTTGCGTAGACCGCATGTTTGCATTCAATTTCATTACTTGCGTAGACCGCATGTTTTACTTGCGTAGACCGCATGTTTTCCTTGCGTAGACCGCATACTTGTAATTAATTCCATTACTTGCGTAGACCGCATGTTTATGTTCAATTTCATTACTTGCGTAGACCGCATGCTCATGATCAATTTCGTTGCCTGCATAGACTGCGTGCTCCACTTTCATGTATCTACCTTCACAGTGTAGATATGCTTCCCACTCGCTTTGCGTTGTCACGCATTTCGAGTACATTATTATGCATGTTGCTAACGATATTGCACCTGTTAAGTTTGTTTTCTTTGCAGGCACGATATTGTATGTATGGTTCATTTAAGGATGGTACAACCCGACGAACCGGACAGGTGTAGTGCATTCCGAGTGAGACGTATTGAGAATTACATAATTCTCTTACATCCTTTCTGCATTGTAGTGTAGTTCGGTGTATGCTAGCTTAAAATTGTCGCATGTTTGCTTCATTACAGTTTTCTTTGCATAATCATAAGTTATGTTCAGCTTTGTGCATTGTCTTGTATCTTGCCCCCGCCTTCGGGCGCATATCTTGCTTGTCTTGCATGTTTGTCTAAGTCTTCGGCCTTGTCAAAAATGGGTCGTCTCTGGGCTTTGACATTCACTCCCGTCATTGTTATGACTTTTGAGTTCTGTCAAAGAGGGGCAACTGTAGACACCCCATTTTTGACCGTCCTCAAGACTTGGACGTCACCGTTGGAACACTCAGTGATCGTCCTTGTTGGTGTTTCGTCTTGAGTTCCCGAAAGTCTTGGCTGCGCTCCTTGCCACAGGATCTCTCGACTCGACTGTTCCGTGTTTGGTTTTGGCACCAAACACTTGTGTTTTTGCCTTGAAGGGCGGGGAATGGCTTAGAGGCCATCCCCACATTCCACCGACCTTCCCCCAGCATCACCGGCTGTTTATGGGTGCCACCGGCCATGGTTTCTTAAAATCAATGGCCGGTTGGCACTATATTTGGCCGGCCGGCACTTTGTTTTTCCGGTGACCTCTTTTGCTGGCCGGTGTGACTCCTTTGCACCCTTGAGGCATGGTGCATGCCAGCTGTGCCAGCTGGAATGCACCATCACTCCTCCCCGTGCAGTTTTTGGCTGGTGTGAACCTTTGACCCCCCTTTCCTTCTAGAAGCTTGACCCCTTTGGCCAAGCTTCTTGAGAAAGCTTGGCCAGCTGTTTTAGCTTCTCCAAGAAGCCAAGAGCCCTTTGCACCCTTTGCCCCTTTCATCTAGCTTCTTGGAGAAGCCTAGAACCTTGGCATTTGCCTATTTAAGCCCTCATCCTCTCCCTTTGTTGGAGGTTAGAGCTTTTGAACCAAAAAACCAGAGCTTCTATATCTATATATCTGATATATCATCCTCTCTCTCTATATCTCCCTCTCTCTCATCCTTAGGGTGTGTTTGGAAGCCTAAAAGTGCATTTTGACCTTACTTTTGCACTAAAACACACACCATTACACCTTGCTCCGAGATTGAGAGGCTTTGAGGGTTGTTTGTTGAGGTTTTGGACTGATTTTGATCAGTAGAGAGTGGCTGGATCATCTGTTCTTCAAGGTTTCTTCAAGGGTGAGACACTTGCTTTAGTTTCCCCAATCTTGCACTAGTTTTCTACCTGTCTTGCATGCTGATTTAGGCTTTGTGTTTAACATGAAAAAGTCTTGTGAGCTACAATAATAGTGTCCTGTATCATTCTCCCTGGAACAAAAAAAGACTGGTGAGGCGAGATAATATGTTGCAGAATGGGTTTAAGCCGATTGGCGAGAATTTTTGAGATGATCTTGAGATTGAAGTTGCAAAGGCTAATAGGGCGGTACTGGGACAATTTCTCAGGGTTTGGGATTTTCGGAATAAGAACTAGGTTTGTTTGATTCTATTCCTTGAGAAGGTGCCCAGTCGTGAAGAAACTCTGCACTGCTTCACACACTTTTGCCCCAACAACAGGCCAATATTTGTGATAAAAGATACCCGAAAACCCATCCGGTCCAGGAGCCTTTAAAGAGCCGAGTTGAAAAGCAGCTACTTTAATTTCCTCAGTCATCACAGGCTTAGTTAGGCTCAAGTTCATTTCAGTTGTAACAACAGGGTTCAATCCTGAGAGAGAGGGCTCCATGTCCCTTGGTTGCTCACTGGTAAAGAGAGTGGAGAAGAAATCCAAGAGGTGGGTGTTTATCTCGGTGTCTGAAGTCAGCCATTGCCCAGTGTCATCCAATAGCCGAACTAGCTGATTCCTTTGCCTCCGTTGGGTGACCGATGCATGAAAGAATGATGAATTTTGATCTCCTGCCTGTAACCAACGAACCCTCGAACGCTGTTGTAGATACATTTTTTCCCTCAGTAAAATTTCAGACATCTCAGCTTGAATGGCTCTCTGATCTTGGAAAGACTCTTCCGAAGATGGCTATGCTTGAAGACCTGCCAATTGGGCTCGTAAGGTGTTAAGCTTCAGCTTATTATTGCCAAATTCTCTGGAACTCCACTCCCTTAGGCCGTTCTTGCAGGACTTAAGTCGCTGACAAAGAGAGAACATGGGAGAGCCCCTATGAATGCCATCCCAGTGTGTTGCTATAATTTCTTGACAGAGGGGGGAAGTTGTCCACATGGATTCAAATTTGAAAAGCTTAGGCACACGTTGTTGGGGAAGACAAGTGTTAATAACCAGAGGACAATGATCAGAACCCAAGAGGATTTCATGAAAAACTTGTGCATAAGGAAATCGTTCCCTCTATTCCACATTAGCCAATGCACGGTCAAGTCGTTCCCGAACACACGCCTGGCCCAGCTGATTGTTAGTCTAGGTGAAAACAGGACCATGGAATTCCAAATCCAAGAGAGCACAGTCAGATATTACTCGCTGAAAGTTTTCAATTCTACCAAGATTAGGAGCATTGCCTCCTTCCTTCTCCCATACTGAACCAATTTCGTTGAAATCACCAACACATAACCACGGTCGACAATTGTCATGGGCTATGGATTTGATTTGATCCCAAAAGCGTGCTCTTTGATGGAACCTTGGAGGTGCATAAAGGAAGGTTGCCAACCAATCCTCACCCGACCCAGAAATTAAACATCTCAACAAATTACTATTTTGTTGTCTGACATCAATATCAACCTCATGAGTCCACCACAGAGCCAAACCACCTGCTAAACCAACAGGATCCACATAACAGCTATTTGGGAAGCGCAAGCTCCTCCTTATTCTCTCAAGAACAGCTTTTCGATTCTTTGTCTCCATTAAGAAAATGACTCATGGGCGATGGGTTGTACACAACCCTCGTAAGATCTGGACTGTTAGGGGTCGCCCAATCCCCTGACAGTTCCAACTGATTATAAACATGGCGGCTGTGGCTGTTGAGGGTCAGCCACCACCACCCTTTCAGAATCATCCAACTGGGTAACCGGGGGGTATGTATTAAGAACTTGTGAATAGAAATCTGATTCAGCCAAGCACGTTGGAATTTCAGCCTGAACTTCAATGTCCACCAATGCCAATTGGGGAGGCTCAGGAAAGGTATTCCTCTTATGCTTTGATGGTCTACCTCTACTCCCCTTCTTGCCAGTGCGAATACCTTGACTGTGTCCAGCAATTGGTGTTTAGTTGATGACCAGGTCAAACTTGGGCTGATGCTCCAGTTTGAGGAATTTGGGTTGGGGTGAGAAATTGGGGGGCTCGTCCAAAGCCTTGCATTTAAGGGAGAGGCCAGTAAACACAGATGAGAGCAAGGTTCTAAATATCGGCCGGTACGTTCCGTACCGGCCGGTTCGTACCGGAAAATGATAGGGCCGAGTCGGATACTCACCGGTATACCGGCGAGACTAAATTTCACGGCCGTAGCGGCCGATTCCCGACACGTATCGAGCTGAATCCGATACGTAAGCGATTTGTTGTCCGATACATGCCGATACGGCTGAAAAACGACAGTGTCTTGTGTATGTATGAGCGTGGCTACTGAGCAAAGCAAAGCACGGCAATTACCTGCAAAAAAAATTAAGAAAAGCAAAGCAATCACCTGGAGAAAAAAGCAAAGCAAAGCACTTTGAGGAAAAGAAAAAACAAAGCAAAAGAAAGAACCTGCAAAAGAAAAAAACATGGACGGTGGACCAAAGTACCTGCAAAAAATAAAGCAAAAGGACCAAATCTCTGAAGAAAAACTCAGACTCACGGACTCATGGAATACATACACAGACTCACGGACAATAATACATACACAGACTCACGGACGGACACCATAAATGTGCTACAAACCTTTGAAGAAAAACTCAATCGGACCAAACCCAACTCCTCAATCAAACCCAAATCTATCTCCCAGGAGCTTCGATCTTGTAAAGGGTTGCAGCCTGCAGGGGGAAGCATCGAATCGAACCCAAATCCATCACCGATTTGAAGCTTCTTCGTTGAAGGTTTGTCTCTCACTCATGCTCTGTTTGTTCTCTCACCTCACCATACGATGCTCTGCTTTTTTTGTTTTGGGTCTGCTTTTTTTGTTTTGGGTCAAGAAAGAAAGTCATAGTTTTGCTTTATAAGTTGTGTTTGGTTCGGTTTGTTTATAATATATATATATTTTTTTTGTTCTCTCACCATATGAATATGATGCTCGGTTTGTTTATAATGTTTATTTTAAACTTATGCTCTGTTTGTTTGTTCTCTCACCATATGAACACCATAAATGCTCTGTTTGTTTTGGTTCAATATATATATATATATATATAAAATTATGGGAGAACAAACCTGCTCTTGAATTGTAAAATATGAGTTCTATTCACCTTCTGAACTTATGTGCATTTAAAATTATGTAAAAAATTGCTCCCGAATTCTATTCAACCTCAATAATATATACAAAAAATTATGTGCATTTAAAAAAATAACCACAGAAAAAAAAAAAAAAAAAAAAACAAATTATAAAAAAACAAAAGATGAAACCAATTAGAAGATTCTAGCAGATTGTTTCACAAACCTTACCGTAAAAATATTGCGTTTTAAAAAATGAACAAACTATGTGGAATTTCTTCAGCTGAGTTTAATTTTCAAATCATGTATCACAAACAATCACTCCTTACATTGGAGCAAAAGTAACCACAAAGGATAGGATCAGATTAGTTGAAACCTAATAATAAAATTGATTTGTAATCGACAAGAATGGATTTTAATAATATGTATAATTTAGCACAAAAAACAAGCGCAAAACATGGGCAAAATATGAAAATATTTGCAA